TATATATATATATATATATATATATTACGTTATACAATATGTATACATATATTATTAAATAAATAATCTTCAAATACGTTAATAAAGTCACTATGTTCATAATCCCTATGTACGTATGTATATATTTATATTCTGTATATTTGCATCATATATATTTAATTTATTCATTTCTTTAATCATTTACTTATTCATTCATTTAATTCATTCGTTTATTTATTTGTATGTATATATGCATATTTATAGCGTCGTTTATTTATAAGTATTTATAGCGATATCATTTTGAATATAGCTGTGCTGAGACTCGCAAAGTGGTAACCATTCGTTCGCTTAATATATTTCTTTTTTTTTTATTTAATCTTCTCTCATTTGTTAATTAACAAAATCAAACGAGAAGTAACAGAGAACAAATTCTCCATGTCTTCTTATTTATTTTTTGGACCAACCTAACTCGATTCTTTTATCAAAAAGATCACGAACGATCTTTAAAAGGTATACGAGTGAGGATATAATCTTCTTTTCCTTCTTCTTCTTCTTCTTGTTCCATGTTGAAACTACGTGTATTTCACGTATAGATTTATCTTCTTTCTTCTTTATAATCCATCTTTCTTCTTCATAGTCCTGCGAGCCATTTCCAGGCTCCTGGAGCCAAGTTAACCGATCCTGTAATCGATTCTTTCGATGATACAGGAAAAGGGCATCCTTTACGATCTTTAGTTGATAATTTATCAACATTTAGATGAACTCATTTAAACAGGACTTTGTACCAAGGAGGAGGAGGACTTCAACCTCTCTCTTTTTATTTTTGCATTTTGGTAGACTTTCAAGGCCATGGCATCGACCTAATGGAAGAATCACACCCTTCAATAAACCGGGTAAGGTGGCCTATGTGGCCACAATGGCGGAATGGGCGGTAAACTTCCATTCCAGGATCAAGTATCCTTTGTGCTTAATGAAGAATCCTCATCCTGACTACCTGGATATGGCATGCCAAGTTTAGGACCCTGTTGTACTACCACCACGCATTTCCTCATATGTTTCTCGAGTGTACTCGGTACAGAAAATGGCATCTCGCAGAAACGACACTTGTAAGTGTCCTTGCCGTGTCTACCATGTGTCTTCATATGCCTAGTTAATTTAGAACTTTGTGCACAAGCGTAGGAACAAAGCTCGCACTTGTACGGTTTTTCACCAGTGTGCGATCGTCTGTGAACCGTCAAATTCGAACAGTTCTTAAATACCTTGCCGCAATATTCGCAAGTATCGTTTCTACCACTTCTTTCTTTTTTCAATAGTGGACTTGGTAAGCCTTGAAGCGCCAAACTAGATGTGGTTGCCTTCGAAGCTTTCCGAAATTCGTTGTTTTCCAAATAATGTGGACTAGGTAACCAAAGACCACCGAAATCTGGCCCGGACGATCTTGGAAAACCTTGTCCCGAAAAAATGTTAGCTGTCGTAGATGAATTAAAGTTCGTTGGTGATAATGCACTGTCCTTTTCTTTGTTATTGTTCAAAGAATTGGCTAAATTCGATGAAGATTCGGTTTTGATGAAACCACCTCGATGATTTTCTTGAAGTGCTTGCCTGTAAGCTTCTGAGTATTGCGCTATGTTACTCAAACCAAATTTTTCCATGAGATCACCGACCAGACTGTCAGGTTTTTGATCGATCCTACCGCTACTCTCTTCACCACTCTGACCCTGCGTCGTACTTAGATCCTCTGGTGTATTCTCCTCGATGTCCTCTCTTTCAGCTTTCTGATCGTTTTCCTCGACCTCGTCCAAATCCATATTTTCGTCGCAACTCGATCCATCGTCCGGGACCGTCTCAACGCTTCCTTGAGGACTAGCAGCGGCGTTCAATGTATCTTGATGCTCCTTCCTCATATGTTTCCTTAATTCGGCAAAGTTCGACAATTCTAATTCGCATACTTCACACCTTGTATTTTGTTGACCTGTCTGTCCATCCTGGGTACCACCATCTTGCTGATATTGTCTTTCCTTTTCTCTATGACTACGTCGATGAACGATCAAGTTCGATTGAAATCGAAATTTCTTGTCGCAAACCTCGCAAGCATAAATTGTCTCCGAACCGGAATCAGCAATGATAGGAGTAGAGGCTACTGGTGGACTAGTTTTTTCACTATCCGTCGAATTATTATTATTGTGATGTCCAACAGGACTTTGACTGTAACAAGGTGGCGAATTTTCTTTCTGATGATTACTATGCGTTAGATTAGCCGGATTGTTAGTAGCTGGACTCGGTGGTTCTACTACCGGTTGTACACGAGAAGGTGGTCTTTGTTGAGATTGTTGTTGTTGTTGCTGTTGTTGAGTTTGTAATGTTGATGGTACTGGTACAACGCTGGTAACGCTTGGTGGTGCAGGATTCGAGTTGCTGGGATTGGGATTTCCGCTGTTTGGTGGAGCCGCGCCTAAGGACGGATTAGCGAGGCTCCTTAGGCGCGCCGAGTAAAAATCCAGGTTGGCTTCTAAAGGTGGTGGATGTGCCTGTGCACTTAATGCACGACCGTGAGATAATTCGGCTAAATTTGCTAAATTTCTTGCATTGTTTAAAGAATCCAACGAGCTACGAACGAGTGGATCACCTAAATTTAAACCGTCCATACCACGTAACGGATCACCTAGGTTTTGTAAATTTCTCGTTGCTGTCTGTAATTCTTGTAGACCTCTGTAACTGGCCAATGGGTTTAACGCTAAGAAATCTGGCCTGAACATCGGTGGAAAACTTCTCTCCAAATGTTGGGGTAGCCTTAAGAAACTGTGTAATGGGTCACCAACCAACGAGGCTGCTGACGTTTGTAGTTGCTGACGACTTCCACTGCTACCGCTCGTGTTCGTTCCGGCTGAACTGTTGGCTGCGGATGAACTTCCGGTCGACTTGCCGCTTAAATTCAAGTGATTCGGCGGACTTAGGTGATGCGCGTGCGTTGGCGTGGGCGTGGGTGGACTAGGTGCTGGTGTATTTGACGAGGAATTCGTCGACGGTGAGGACGAACTATATAAACGGGCACCGTGGACGCTTTGCGCGTGCTGAAGTAACTCCCACGCAGACGACATTCGTCTTGAACATTGCGAACATTGCAGCCATCTTGGTTCTGTAAATAGAAACAAATCCAATCGTTTTGTTAAAAAATTCCATCTTATTTTCAATTTCCAAATAAATATACAATCAATTAGATTACTGTATAATGCGAATTAGTATTGTTTGTTAGGCGTTCTATGAAATCGTTTTGTATGGAAATTTTTGTATTTTTTGAGGTTATGTCAGTATTAAATATACAAAGAAATCAGTATAGTATAACTCGGATTCATTAAATATTGTAGGCATAGTTTTTATTAAAAAAAAAAAAAATCAACTGCTTTCAATCTAATATTTTCTTAGAACTTATTTGTCGTAATGAAAAATAATGAAAAATAAAAAATTAATATAATATAATCGTATATATCTAGAAAGGGAAAGATAGTTGGACGCGTAGATGCGCGAGCTTGCGAACATCAATTCTCGAAGGTTCCCTTAATTTGAGAAAATCGGGATAGAAATCCGCTTTGCCGATTGAATTCTGAATTCAAACGGCACGCCTGTGTCAAATTGCGGATTCTAGCCTTGCAGGGGCTTAAAAATAATATCCCTTGGAACAGGATGGTCGATGGTGGATAGTGATCGAGGGGGTGGGTGGTTTGAGGGTAGTCGTTCTAACGTAGCAGCTGAAACTGACCCTTAACGACTTCTCAACCCTCCCTTATGACTGCGCGGGAGGGACGGGTTTTGAATTTCAATGTTTTTAATCCAGAATATCAGATTTTCTCCCATTTTTCATAGCTCATAGGTTCCGAACGAATCCAAGTTACACATTTTGCGGGGTGATCTCTTTTCTTATTCCATTTTTTTTTTTTATTAATTTGAAGTCACCCTTCTGATGATAAAAAAAAACAGAGAGAGAGAGAGAAAAAAATAGAAGAGTGGTGGCTCTTTATCGTCACATATTTTGTGTTTTGTCACCCTCACTTACTAGAAAAAGCCATCGTCAAATGCGAAACATAACCGCGGAAACATATTCGCTTCGATCGTAACACACACGATGTTGTTAGAAGGGTGTTCTCGCAAGTCGATTTAAATTTACGTCGACGTTAAAGCACTTATCGACTCCTTTTTTTTCTCTTTTCTTTCTTTCTTCTTTTTTTTATCAGAAGATTTTATCGCAAAGTCATTTTAGATGATCGATCTATAACTTATCATGATTTTTTAACAAAGTTTTAAAGTGCTTTAGAAATAGGAAACAAAGAGATATTATTTATTGAACGAATATCTTTTTTTTTTGGTTACAAATTTTGCATAGAAATTAAATAATAAATTTGTAGGATTTGTTATATCATTAGATTTTAAATTAAAGAAAATAAACGTTAGATCATATTTTTACTTATTAATATCAAAATTAAAGTTTAATCGGAAGTTTGATTTAAATTATTACCGATTTTGATTCTAATTTAAAGAAACAGAGTTTTACATGGATTAGATCGAATTTTCATTTGACAACCAATAAGAAATAATAATTTATAAGTACGGTCAAAGTTAAATCTATCAAATTTATCTCCTACCCCTCTTCGATTTTAATTTAAAGAAAAACAAATTAAAAAGTGAATACAACAGAAATCATGTTTTTTTTTTTTTCATTTACAATACAAGATTGAAATCCGAGGTCCAGTCAGAAAGTTTAGTTAAACTTTTTTTCTTTAGGAAGAAAAAGATATCGTGACTTCTTTTCCTTTATTTTTTCATCCCATTCTCAACGAGATAAGTAAAATGAAGGAAGGTAAGTTCGACGGTGTTTCGCTTTTACATACAGTGTGTCCTTCCTCTATAAGAAAAAGAAAACAAATAAGAGAAAAGAAAGAAAAAAGAAAAAATAAAACGAAAACATCTTCGAAAGAAACAAATGAGAAAGAAAGTGGATACAGGTACGGAAAAGAGAAGTTCGTAAGAGATTAAAAAGTTCAAGATTGTCGTCGTTGTCGTCGTTCTTGAACGAAAAAGAGAGAAAGAGAGAAAGAGAATGCAGTGTAAGGATGTTTAGCTGAACGAACGAGAAGGAAAATCAGTGTAGGAGACAAAGAAGGTTTGTAGGAAAATAAAGCGGTCCCTAATTAAATGGCCGTTCTGGACAGAATAAAAAAGAATAAGGAAGAAAGAAAGAAAGAAAAGATAGGAAGAAAGATAGAAGAAAATTGTCGAACTAGTTTTTAAAGCAGAACGCGTTCGGTGAATCGAGATTTACGAGTTCTCATTTAATCTCCTTTAAGTTTACCCTCGTTAACCTTAAAGTACAACTTTCCTCCACCTCCTCCTCCTCCTATTCTTCTTCTACTTCTTATTCTTCGAAATTGTGTATATACAACACTACAATAAAAAAACAAAGAAAGATGTTAGCCTCGTACTCGTTAAAAGAAACTCACGTAGAAGAATCAACGATTAATTCACCTACTTACTATTACTGACTTATTTATTAATCGAATGTTAATGTAGCTTTGTGCGAATGAAACAAGAAGACAAGACAGGACAGGGCAGGACAGGACAGGACAGACAGATTGATGCTTGATGGTTCGAGAAAACTTTTGTTTTATCGAGTAACACGTCAGAGACACACTGGGGATTCATGAATACGTTACTCACACACAATGGGCACACATTTATCGTTGCAGCATTATAAACAAGGTGCCAAGTGGCATAACGAGTCCGATAGTGGGCGTTGTAAATTTTTCTTTTTTCTCTTCATTCTGTTTCCCTCTCTTTCCTCCTATCCTTCCCCATCTATTTTTTTCTTTTTTTTTTATTCAACGATGTTTCTCTAACCTTTCACTAACGTAAGTATAAGATGGATTTATCTCAACTTTTAATTCATTCATTCGTTCTTGGAAAACCATTACAAGAACTATACCGTGAGATTAGAATTTGTCATTATCATGATTCATTTATCGATCATTGTGTAAATAATTATCATCCTTGAAGATCTCACGTTTTTTTTTATGGACAAAAGAAGATCCCTTTTGTTTAGCGAATTAAATGCAGGTAAAAGTTTGGTTGTTTTCTTCTTTGTTTCTTTTTTTTTTTTTAACCAAATTTTTACGAGTCATTCATAATCATTGATGTTTTGGGTATAACATAGGACCGTAAATTAGCGTTGAAAATTGGACCAAATAGAAAGTTGGAATGAGAAAGGAAAGGAAAGAGGAGAGGAAAAAAAGAAAACAAGTAAAAAGGGACTAGTGTCAGGAAAAAAAGGAAGGTCGTAAAAATGGGAAGCGTGAAAATTTAGAATATTGTTTGGCGCTGCGGGCGTTAGGCGCCCTTCCCCCACTTTCTCAAACCCTCGACAGAGGAGGTTCCTTCTTTTCCGGAAGTTGAAAATATTGCCGCTTTCCCTCGGGGAAGTATGTAAGTGAGAAAGAAAGAAAAGAAAAAGTAAAATAAGAAAAGAAAGAAAGAAAAGATCGTTGATGGTGGTGGTGGTGGTTGTGGAAAGATAAGCGAGTATATTTCTATGGTATATAATAAAGGTGTATCGATTTAAAGTACGGGTCCTTTTCATATGCAAACACCATACTTTCTCTTTCTGGCCATCCTTTAGGATTATTTTCCCCAGATTTTCATGATCATCTCTTGTGACTTGGTAAATGGCTGGACTCCATGAAATATATATCCTAACCAAAAATGATTTCATCTTATTTTATCTCGAAAGATAAAATATCAATTTTCAACGATTTGGATAATAAATTACATTTATTCTATATTCTATACTATAAATGAAATTTTGTTTTATTTGCATAGGTGCTAATTAATTATTTGATTATATTATTATTTATTATATTTGATAATAATTTAATTTAATTTTGATATACAAATTTCTAGAATTTTTTAGAATATTTTATAAATATTATATTATTAATTTTTTTAAATTTATATTTATTTATATTTATATTTTTAATTTTTAATATATTCATTAGGTATTTATTATTATATTATATTTTACATTATATTATATTAAGTATTTTATATTATATTAGGTTTTTGCATATAATATTTAATCTGTACAAAAATTTATATCTTTTTAAAAAGAATATTAATAATTGCCGATATTTGATGATTTTCACTTATATATTTAAATAAAATAATTTATAGATAACAATATAAAAGAATACTTTTTTTTCTAAAAAATTTGAGTTTCTTATTTGATTGGATTTTATTGAATGGAAATTGAAAACTATTATAGATGAAAATAACGTCGTATAAATAAAGTATAGTACTCCATACATAGATGAATAGTATAAGAGAGAAAGAAATCTTTTGGAATGGTGACCGAGACCGATTTTCTTCAGAAATTGCCCGTCAAATTGGCCAGGCCGACGTTTCGAAGTAAATCGTTTGGAATATACCATTGTTTAACTACAAGCAGAGCCATGGTCATCCTTTCGAATACTTCCCTTTAACCCTTTTTACGGAAGACTTCATACGAAACGAGCAACAACCACTGCACCGGTATGTAAGGGTGATCCCAAAGTGACATTTTCGAAAGATGAGTGAATATCTTTCTCTCTCTCTCTCTCTCTCTCTCTCTCTCTTCTTTGTAATACTTTGAAAAATATATTCTATATGTGTACGTATGTGTTTATGTGTGCGTGTACATGAAGGATATGTGTAATTTACTATTGTCGATAGATCCTTTTTCAATGCAGTTATTCGAGTAGTAAATGCAAATTTCTAAATGTAAATTACAAGGTTAAATTTTACACTTTCAAATACGAACTCGAAGGTTGTTAAAACATTTAACAATACTTCGCGTATTAACTTTTAAAAATATGGTTGTTTTTTCCTCTGTAATAAACAAAAAGGGTTTTTATATGAATTTTGTTCTTACGAGTTATGAAATAAAATATTTTTAATGAATAAAATTTTTATGATATATAAACTATATATATAAAAATTGATAAACAAAAAAGAATTATAGATATTAAGAAAGATTTGAAAGATTTTTTTTCTTTTTTTTTTGACAATCGAAGCAGTAACCATCTGCTGGTCTTGCCCTATCGAAAGCTTTCGCACCCGTGACGTCATGGTACACAAAGGATCGTAATCCAGAATGGCGTGTGACAATATTAAAATATCGATTAGCCAACGTATGCGACGTATGCACTTTGTCCCTGGCACAAGGGTTGCACTTAAAAGGGCCGGCGCTTGCAATGGATCGTGTATCCAGGTAGGATAGATTGTGGGCGATTTTAATCAGGGACCTATTGGTCACGTGGATCTTTACAAATTCTTTCTATCACTATGTCCATTTTAAATTTGCTCTTATAAATATATAATCCTAATATTTATATTTATTTCTATTATAACGTAACTCCTTCTAATATGCAAAATACAAATTTGATTTTATCCAATTTTTTTAAATTATTGAGAGTTTTTTGATAAAATTAAAATAAAATTTGCAAAAAAAAAATATAAAGGAGAATAAGGAAGAACCGATAGAAAAATTAAATTATTTGTTTATTTTTTTTTTTAATTTAATTTAAAAGAATTGACATTTAGTTGACGTCGCACGGTCGGTAAAATCACTTTGAAAATTTAAAGTTTCTATTTTTAGTAAAGAGTAACTCACGAATGGAACTTTAATATCCATGTACGATCGCAAACGTACACCTTGCGGTCAGTACGCGGTGCCAGGGACAAGATTGGTCAGACAACAGTGTCTATCTTTTTCTCTTTCTCTCTTTCACAGATCCTTTATGTCGCCCATTCGTTCGTCCGACCGCAAACATCAAGAATGGACCACCGGGTCCCATTAAATTTGCCTCTTGTCTCTAACAAAAGCTTCTTCGTCGAGTTTAAAAAACAAAAAGAAAAAAAGAATTGTACCTTTATATGTCATTTCTACGAGAACAAAAAAAAATACTTCGTACCAGACGTCAAAACAAAAATATATATATAAATAAATAGATAAATAAATAAAATATGATGAAAAAAGTCTGTGGTTTTACAAAATGGAATGAAAAAAAAGTCAGTGTAAATAAAAAAACCAATAAAAGTCAGGGTCAAGTCAAAGTTCAGTAAAAAAAAAAAATAATAAAAAAAAGGTAGACGAGATTTGGGTAAGGGTTCAATAAAAACAAATTAAAAGTATGAAGAAAAAAAAAAGAAAAATTAAAGAATTTGTCGGTGTAAAGTGTGGAAATAACGATAAAAAAAAAGATCAGGGTTGCATCAGGATTTGATAAAAAAAAAAAGAGAGCAAAAAAATTCTGAATAAATAAAAAATATTTAAAAAATTTCATGGGTGAGGGTCACAGAAAAAAAATTGTACAAAAAAATTCAGAAAATGAAAGAGACGTGAAAGATCAGGGATTGCGTCAGAGTTCTACGATACGAAATAAATAAATAAATAAATAAAAAATAGAATAATTAAAAGATTCGTTGTGGTGTAGAACATAGAAAGCAAAAATAAAAAAAAATAAATAAAATAAAGGAAAAAGAAGGGAGGAGATCAGGATGTAGCCAATTCGCAAGCAATTCTCGAGACGCCTCGGGCGGTCTAAGAAAACGGTATACGTGCGAGAAAGAAGAAGAAGAAGAAGAAGAAGTAGAAAAAAAGAAAGAGAAAAAATGAGAGAGTAAGAGAGAGAAAGATAGAACAGGGAGAATCCTTCGTGGGCCAAGAAGGGGTCGGAAAGAAACCATAAAGAGCAGCTGGATGAAAAACCTCACCCGCGACGACGAGAATTAATATTCCAGACAAACGTGACAGATAGATCAAATCTGCATCTCACCCAGAACGCTCTCTGGTGTCAATTTCAACGGATTATCGCTTCCTTTCTCTACTCTCACACCACCCACCCCAAACTCCAAACCCCTTTTTCTCAAACCTTCTTTCTCATTGCTAACTTCCCTATCTGCGATATACATTTTTCCAACTCTTCGAATCTATACTAACTGTATTTTCCTTCTTTTATTATTTTTTTCTTTCTTATTCTTTTATTAATATTGATATTGTTATTTGCAATAGAATTGTGAGATTGAAATGGATATATATTGTTATCAATATTTTTAAGATAGTCGATTTAGGGTTCAAAATATATATTTGGTTTCAAATGTAATATTAATTTAATAATAATAAAAATAATAAATTTAACAATAATATAAAACAATAATAAAATAAAATAACTAATATTAGGGAAAACTTGCATTTAGTATTGCATGTGCAAGTGCAAGTTCTTTTGCATGTGATAGTTTACAATTTAATTCAATATGAAAATCATTTTAAGAAAAACTAATAATTAATGTTTTAAATCTATAATATTATTTTAGATATGTGAATTTAATTTTTAATATAGAAATGAAACAATAATTTTTATAAATTAAAAACTCCCTCAAATTATTGCGAATTAATTTAGAAAGTACAAACCAATAATATAATTGCATTTGCAATCTATCGAACAAATTCCATCTAATAAATTTAAAAACTATTTAAATATTTTATATATATTTATATATTTTTAAATATATATATTATCAATATATATTTTTAAAATTAATTATCCAAGCAAACAAAAATTTCATTTACTTAATACTTAAATATAATTTAATATAGTTACTCATATCATATGTGTAACAAATTCTGGTAGCAGAAGGGGAGCTAAAATTTGATTAAATTTTGAACGTTAGAAACATTTTCAAAAGACAGATGATTAAGAATACGCTAATCGATAACAGGTATGGTCTAATGAATTCGAATAGGTATAGGGATGAAACCAGAACGATAATGACGATGACGATGACGATAATCAGGTTCCTGCTGTCATCGGTTGATCTTACCTGGGCTGCATGCGGCGCGTTAAACGAAACGAAACGAGACGAAACAAAATGAAACGAAAAGGAAAGAAAAGAAAAGGAAAGAAAATTCTGACACGAGCAAGTAAGCAAGCAAGTAGCACGTAACGCAGGCACGTTCGTACGAACGTTAGATGAATGGCTCGTGCGTACCACGTGGCCAAACAATAGGAAGATTCTAATTAGGCTGCTTTCGAGTTGGCCGGTTTGTAAAGTGACAAAAAATTCTGACAAAAAAGACAACGAAAGGGGCAGGAACCAAGGAATATATATGCATGTATATGTTGTTGTATATATATGTACATACATATATGTGTATACTTGATTTATACATATATATATATATATTATCTATGTGTGTATAGATACAGGGAATAAGGGAATAAGGGACTAGGACGAGCACGAGCTTCGCTCGCGTTCTGCTACGGAAAAAAGGGGTTAACTCTTGCGACAAAACGAATAGCTAAGGGAGAAAGGGGTGCTACTGCTGGCTGCTGCTTGCTGCGTGCTTCACGCTTCGTGATGAAGCCTTTAAGGATAGGGCTTGGTTGATCCGTCGGTCGTGTGTATCGGATAAACTCGATCCATTCTTTTAAATTTTATAAAGAAATTTGTTGGTTAGATATTTAGGTTAAGATTTGATTCAAGAAATAAGTGTTAATGTGTTTATAATTTGTTTACAATTATTAGAATGTATAATGATAGTAATATTTTAAACATTAATTTGATAAGTAAAACTTTTGATTTTAATTAGATGTATTAATGTTATATTAAAAGTTTACTATCATAGTATTGTAGTAAATTTGGAAAATTATATTTGGTAAATAAAATTAAATAATTAATTTAGTTAAATTATTTAATATGACACGATTCTTATGTGTACACTTTCTTAAGAAAATACCACAGATGATTCCGAGTGTAAAGAATTAATTATATTATAATAAATTTATATATTAATATAATTATATATATTACATACTACGATTCTGGTAATGAAACTTTTCTGTTTTGTATCGTTCATGGATCAATCAAAATATATTAATTTTTACATAATTTTTCATAACGTTATTTTAGAACGTAAAAAATAGAATTTATCAAACATTAACAAATAAACAAATTTATAAAATCAAAAGCTACAAATAAATAATTTCTTTACAACAATATCGGACAACAAATACGAGAAGCAATAAAAGCTATTTCCCTTATCATAAAAAAAAAAAATAAAATGTAAACCGCACAACATATGACACAATAGGAATAGAAAAAAAAATACAAAAAAGAAAAAAATGGTAAAATAAAGATAAAAAAAGAAAAAGGTTTTTCAATGAAATGTGAACACCCGCGCGTTAAACCTATCGACAATGCAACGATGTGACCCCTTCCGAGGGATAGATGATGATTCGCGGAGGGGTGTAGAGGGGTGTAGAGAGAGGCAGGTTCAACCCCGAACTCAAAGCGGGCGCTTTAAATTCAAAAATCGAATCTACCGCATCGACATTGTTCGTGTTCGGTGGACCACGTCCGACATCAGATGGCCGATCATGAACGTACTTTAAACCCTCGAAACTTTTTCTACCTTTCGCATCTCTAACGATTATTCCTAAGTGTGTGTCTGTGTATTAGTAATTTAGATATACAATATGAGCTACACATGTATAAGTTTTTTTCCTATTTATTCCCAAAAAAAAAAATAGAAAAGAAAAGAAAAGAACTTTTCACATGGGACAATTTTAGTTATCGAAAACTAAAATAAATATTTTCAAATCTGTCACGTGATATATAAGTCTTGAACGACAGTAAGTTTCATGAAAAATGACCTAAAGGTTCTATCATAAAATGTGATTAGAAATATTGAAATAATTTCCTTACCGGAATTGACGGTATTGGTGTCAGCATCGACAGACTCGGTTTTTTGCTTCTTAGGAAGTTCTTCCTTGTCATCGTCGATATCCTCCGTTCGTCTTTTCGGCGTCGAACTTGCACTAGCTCTAAGCTCGATCGGACTTCCGGTATCCGGTGCTGTACCCTGAGGCGTTGGTGGACTTTCAAGTCTACCACCCCTTTTGTTGATCGGCGCGGAAATACTTGGTACCGAATTAAGTTTTGAATCTTGATCGGTAGTTTTAAGGGCAAGAGCATCCTCGGGATCCGAGTCCTCTGGTGCTGCAGTAGCCGGAGGACTGTGACACCCTTGGAGAGTACTGCGACAGTGGTTGACCTTGTGCTCGATGAAACGAACTATCTCGCCAAGGGGATAGGACGCCCTGCAACCTCCGCATTGGACGGTGTCTGGGGACGTACTACTTTGCGAAGTTTCCGCTATAAAAAGAAATATATATATATATGTATATGTATACGTAAAAATAGGATTAGTTTAATTAATATATTTATTTCATTTTTAGGTAAATAATTAGGTATATAATTAATAATAGAAATCATATTATATATAATGTCATTAATCATAATTAAT